TGAATTGCGTTTATATTCCCTTAAGTTTATCACTGAACGCAGTTGCGTTTTGTTTCATCTTTAACAATATCCAGCGCCATTTTATGATATTTAATGCTTTTCTATAACAAATAAAGGAAATAGAGGCTATTACATGGCCGCGCAGGGATACGAATTTAATCTTCGAGTGCTGAAAGTATCTCTCACGAGTGAGCGAGCGAGTGAGAGACACTTTCAGTACGACAAGATAAAATTCGTATCCCCAAGCGGCCATGTAATGTTCTGTTTATTTTATAGATACTGATGAAATTGCTACATAAAACACAACTTTTTGTTTTATTCATTTTCGAAACAGCAAAATAGTGCAATTAAAGTGGTCACCTATCGCAAAATGCCTGTCACAAAAATGTCATGAAACGCGGATATAAAGTTTTAAATGAGAAATAAAGACAATAATTGGCTAACCATGTTAGTAACCATGGCGACACCAATATCCTCACACGTGAAAGATAAGAATAGTATCTTCACTGCGCGAAATGAAGATATGATTTTTTAGTAAAAGGAAAAATCCTGGTATTTCATCAGTATCTATATAAAAAGTAGGTTGAGTTTGATCGTCCGGGTGAACGTAGTCCTGAATAGGACTGTTGTTGTTGACAGTGACTGACGTTTCGACAACCTGTGCGGTAGTCATTTTCAGAGACAAAGTGAGTTGTTTCACTTCAGTTGATGGTATTATACTCTGGTTATTGGTCTGATTGGTCAATTACGTTGCGATGTTATTGGTCGCCTGTCAGTTAAGCCGTGACAGACGGTTAAGTTAGTTAAGCCGTGACATCAAGGGATGTTCCATTCATTTACCACTTCTTAAGTATGTGGTGACTAAAATTTGTAATTTTAATCGAGATAATTTTGCAATTATCAATTGCTTTCTACCTGCTATGCATTCTACAATCGACGGTTTGACAGAAATACAAATGTAGACAAAGATTACATCTTATAGTGTTTCTTAGCTAAATTGATCATAAATATAACAATTAATTCTTTTTTTCTTAGCTTCCCGAGTGTTATTTTTGCCTAAACTTCGTTTGTTATGTTTATCTCGAGTTCTAGTTTATCCCTCGGAATAAACATGGTTGATGAAAACTACTCTCGGCTATTTTTCTGCGCGTATTACACCTTAGGTGGACTCTCCAAGGTAACAAACATGTAGTTATAATTGAATGTCGATCTCCTGGGGACCTGTGACGTCACCATCTTGAAATGTACGGCCACCATCTGTACCATCTGAAATGTACGGCCACCATCTTGAAATGTACCGAAAAATTTCGAACCATGCATTCAAATCAGAGTTTACAATCTAAGCATTTCTTGTTTTCAGGGTCTAAAGCATTTCTTTACTGCGCTTTTCACAAACACGCTAACTCTAAAGTTCAAAAGTCGCCTTCACAATTGCGTTTTTTGCTGCCGTCAATCATAATTACGATCACAACCAAGGAACCTTGAAACACAGAAACACACAAAACGGAACGAAATCCACCAATCGCAGATCACAAACTTTGACGTATTGAACCCGTTTAAGTAAAGTTCCGTTTCCTAAGAGGTCCGTTAAGAGGATTGACGGCAGCAAAAAACGCAAACGTCAGTTGGCTTTTGAAATTCAGAGTTCGCGTGTTTTTGAAAAGCGCAGTAATTAAAATTGCCTTTCTTTGGTAATGTTCCATAAGTTTTTTTGCAAGGGATTTCAAAAGTCCTTATTTATAACTTAAAAGGGGCCTCCCACACCTGCCGCCCAGGAACCAGTGCCTAGGTACCGGCACAAAAAAGTGAGGTGTTCACACCTTGAGTTCAATACAAGTCTCGACCTTGTACTCGCGTACTGGCACCGTGCCCGAATTCTACTGTGGGTGCTTTAAACAAAGGGTGTGTTCACTTTAGAAGAAAAGAATAAAACTTATACATGTACATAACATACGGCTATTTCCAAATTCTCTGCTGTTAGAAAACTTATACATAACATAATTACGGCTAGTTCCAAATGGTATATTTTATCCGTGTTGCTACTAAAACGGTTATAAAAAAAGATAAACTTGTGATCCACGACCTGTCGCTGTGATAGTGAATACATTTATCGGGAGTTAAGCCTACAGAGTAGGCCCTTTCTTTGCTGGTTCGCATATCTTGGTAACAAACTGAGCTTTCTGCTTAAGCTATGATGGAGATATATACCACAATCATGGTGATTTCACTAGGCTCTCGGTACTTATGGGCATAACTTCAATTTTTCTCAGGGAAAGGATTCCGCTGCTGCTGCCATTGAGGTCAGAATGTCTTTTAACGCTTGTAGTTCCATTGCTGGCAGCTGGAAATATCACGCGTATTCTTCTTTTGAACCTCTCTCTGATCTGCAGAATAATCAAAGAGAATTAATTCAAAAGATCGCTCCCTGCCAAGTCCGTAAGGAAGTTTGGACGGACGGACGTACCCTGACGTCATAACCAAATTTTCTCGTATCGATCGATAGGTTTCCATTTTCTATAGCAATGGGGGCTCCGCCACGCGCCCGCGGAGGTTCCGTTATCAACTGTCTCTGGTGCTATTGGTGTTTTTGGGTCATGAGAACTTTCCGTAATAAACAGGTGTTCGTAATCGAGGGGTTTGACGGTAAATTCCTTGTGATTTTGGTTCTGTGTTTGGTTTCGACTTACTAAAAACATTGCTTAACTTATAATTCGGCAACACGAGAAGATAAAATTTGCAATCATTTAACATTTTGTCCTTACCTCACTATTTCTCACACAGTGAAGAAGAAAGATGGAAAATCCCTGCGGGTAGGAAAATAAGAAAGACTGTCACCAAAGTTTTCCAAAAAATGTACTTATATAATCCTTGGGCATCTTCAGTGAAATAATTTCGAGCTTTGCCATATCTTCTTTTAATTTCTTGACTTTGATTTGTGATTAAGTATTTACTTTTTGAGCTAAAAAATGGGTGCGACCCACAGACTAAATGTAGACTTATTTTCCCAATCATAATTCATGACTTTTTTGGTTGCAGAAAACTTTTTTGGCAGATCCTCATGTGCACTTTGCCTGATGCTTTATGGGAGTTGTGCAAGTGGCGAATAGCAAACACAGCAGCCCCTACGGTTAGTTTACCAATCTATGAATAATGCATACGCAAAGAAGGGGGCTCGCATCTCACCTGAGTGGAATTGAAGATAACAAAAATGTAAGCGAATGCTTTGTAGGTTGACGAAAATGCGCCGAATAACCACGTGACCCCAAGTAAGGGAATTAGCACCACGCATGCTCTGATTCCAAGTCTGCCAATAAATAAGATATTCAATGAAAGATATATATATATATATATATATATATATATAGAAGATAAAACAGACGAATCGTTGTTACCAACGTTCTAACTTTTTTAGCCTAGCCTGTCATCAGTGGAATGACGATGGTGTTGTTGCAGCTAAGTCATTGTGTTGTCAATTAAAAACGAAGGGAACACAATAGAGCAGTTTGAGTAGTGATAATATGATATGGCCACTTTATGAACAAACAATGTTTTGTTCTTTAGTGCGAATGAAGTTTCATTTTCCTTGGGTGAATGTTCGTATATGAGAATAGATATATCAGTTAACATTTGTCCTTTTCATTTCCAACACGCACACACACTGGAAGATTTTATAATTTATTTTGTTTTCGTTTTAGCTGCTGGATTTCTTCCTCTAACGGACTGATCTGGATATTCGTCTCGTTTGTTCTTGCAATTGAGATCGTAAGTTCAGTCAGTATTTTGTTTAATCTGATAAAAAAAGTGACACGCAAAAACGCACTGAAAGAAAACAAAGAGAATGGTTTAAAGGATTTGTTTTAACGAGAAAGATTGTCTCAGTCACTATCACGTGGGCGGTGTTGTGATATTCTAATTTAAGTTTTCTTTTTTCTCAACTCTGTTATTTTTTCAGATAAACTTGTTGATTTTGGTGAGAGTTATAAGAGAAATGACAAGAATGGAACAAACAAAGGACAACCAAGGAGAACAGATAAGGTCTCACCGATTTTGTTGCTTGTTTTAACAGGCATGTGTAAGTACATGTAATATACTGTATTTGTTACGCGCCCAGCTGGAATTAAGCAAAGATTCCTTTTGAGAATATTGTTTTCGATAAACTGCTATAGAAATTGGCCTTATTTATGAAAAAATCCTTAATGACTATGCCACAAAATTAAATGTTTGCTCCCTTGGCGAAACTGTTGATATAGATTTATTAAAATAAATAATATTTTCACGTTTATACTACTACGTGAGAAATTTCTGCAATTTGATTGGCTTAGAGCAGTGGTATTTCAGCTTTATTTGAAATACCTACATGTGAAAATTACAAACCTTTTGGGGGTAGTAGTATAAACAAATAATAGCATGATTTGTACGAGATATTTGGCAAAAATGCCACTCGTGATATTTCAAAGTTGTCTCAAATTTCACTCGCCTAACGGCTCGTGAAATAACGTACAACAATTTCGAAATAGCACTCGTGGTATTTACGCCAAATATCACTACAAATCATGCTATTACCTATACTAATAAAAATTTATTTCCCCGTGATGAAGGGAAAATGGTGTATATTCGAGAAAGGGTATGGGTAATTCACCCCCATAGGTAAACGAAAACGATGTATCTTTACGTGTTCTACTTTTCACCATTTTTCTTCTTACTATTCATCGCTAACAAAACTTGTGATTCCGTCCATTCCGGCAGCAACACTGAGCGATAAAGTGACCATTGCCGCAGGAAAGCCTGAAACAAAGGTGTGGCGGGAGGAGTTCAATAATAAAATTTACGTGAATATTCAAAATATTAATTCGGGAATAACGCACAAACTCAAAAGTGCGAAAACCACTCTATATACACTGCATAACACGCATGAAACTTAAAACACACTTTGAAGTATTCGAGAGAATAATTGTCGCCAACTATCAGGTGAGGCATTGATAACATTAGAATGTCATTTATGCAAAGGTGGTCAGAAAATGAGTTTCAAGGATTTATCAGGAACAAAATTTGAGATTTGGGTCTGTCAATTTGGCTTCTTCGATAAAATTTAATTGAAACGTTGAGGCTATTATGTTTTTTTTTCGCCGTTACATTCAGTCTTTAGTCCTACACTTACTAGTTTCATCCTCATCTTTGCCCAACATTTGAGAAACTAAAATGCAAATTTATCCCTTTACACTTACCCCATGAAATTCCGTGACAAATTTTCATCTTGCTGCTAACGTTGTAAACTTTGACAACAAACAAGTAAAGATAAATTCCCTCCATTAACATCCAACAGAAAGCCGCCATAAGGAAGTATTGAATCAGGGCTGCTGCTGTTACACAGACGCCCTGCAAAGTACAACATGTAGTCAAAACTCGCATACTTGAAGGACACTGTTACCACCTTGTACCTTAAGATTCCAGGACTAGGAAGATTACTAAATTTGTCTCTTTTTGGCAAATTCTAGGAAAGTACCCCGAAAAGCTTCAATATTTAGATTGACCAGGGTTCATGTAACAAAACTTTTACGAGTGTAATTCACAAGCGTAGAGTCTGAAAACAATAGCTACACGTTTAAAATACACTTGTAAAAGTTCTATTAAATTGACCCCGGGTAATTTTTAACATCCCATTTTGCCTTATGTTTCCATTTCAGTAATAGTAAATGGAATCCACAAAATTAAAACGTCGGACATTTAAAGTAAAGTATGTGGAGTTAATTTGCCTGCCTAGGGACTTTTTACATGGAGGTGGGGGACCCCATATAGGTGAGGCCTATAGGCCGCCTGTTTATACAATCTCTCATTGATTTGATAGCTCTTTCATGATAGGTGGGATGACCATATGAGAAATTATATGGGCAGGTGGGTTACCCCACCATAGCAGGTTACCTCACCTTTCCCCACCTCTATGTAAATAGGCCCTTAGAAACGAGAAGGAAAGTGGAGCAGATATGCTTCCCGTAATTGTTTCTGTGATCCTTAAGAGGGACTTTAAGATCCAACGACGCCACGGCAACGAGAACGTCTCTTAAAAAGTAAATTTGCGTTCTTTCAATCTTTATCGCGATTATTCCTACCTACTTTGTCAAATGTAGGCGAATCCTCCTGGGTGAAGTTGAATTCCAAGGGACCATATCCAAGTTCAGAAAGAGAAATAAAATTTCGCCGTTGCTTGTTTACGTTCTCCGTAAAACGCGAGATTAAGCAATTTAACGTCGTAGTCGTGCAAAAACGGCAAGAGAAATGTAAAAAAAAGAGTGATGCACGTGCAAAATTGTTGTTTTGCTTATTAAAGCTATTGTTTTCTTTGACGTTCTCGTTGTGGTCTCGTTGTTAGATCTTAAGGTCCCTTATAATTACTAGGAACGCGCCGGTCAGATATTGGCCCTTTTTTCCCTGTTACTAGTAACAGCCCCAAGTCTTTGCGAAAGTTAACCCGCCCTATTTCACTTCTCGTTGCTTAAGTGACGAATTGACCACTACAGAAAATGCCATAACATACCATAATACTTCTTGTTGGTCACTCCAACATTTTGCGTAAGACCAGCACCGAAACGAGTTCTCACCTTGTTTTCAGTTGCTCCAATGCCTGCGAGGAAGATTATTTGGCCCACTCCAAGGGAAGCGACAAGACTTATCCGGATTTGTGACAGTGGTGCTTTAATATCGCTGTGTAAAGATAAACAATTACATTGTCTTCAACAAAACCACTCTAGGTGGGTCTAACAAAGGAATATCTCTAAATGTGTATTATAACAATGCAACGCAATAGAGCGTCTTTCATTCACGTGACCAGCATCTATGTAAATTTATTGGAACAAAAGAAATTGTTTACATAAAAATGAGTTCAACTCCCACAAGACTGGTTTGGAACACCAACATGGTCGCCGTTTTATAGTTTTTTAGTTTTCATTGTTTTTTTGCCTCCGTTACGTCATATCAAAACGCTCTATACAAAACAAATTATCATACAATACAATACAATTCAATTCAATACAGTAAAATACAATGCAATACACTACCCTAAAATGCAATGTTATACAATACAATACATAGCCTGCGAAGCGCAGACGTATTTCCGGTCGTCTCTTCTCTCAGTCAGAAGGGAGGGAGAGAAGGCTATACAATGCAACGCATTAAAATGAAGTACAAGACAAGACAAGATAAGATAAGATATAAGATAAGATATAATTAGATAAGAAAAGATAACATAAGAAAAAATTAAAGACTAAGAAGGGAAAACGTTCAAAATTTGGGCTTATAGAGTCGTGTTGAAACATTTGATTATGTTTTAAAAAGATGTTACATGTACTTACGTCAGAAATGTGTAGCAGATTATTGTCGCTATGATTCCGATTAGGGAAAGGGTAAGACCCAAGTAGGTCAGAATATTCAGCACCTTTTCATCTTTCTACGTACAAAACAACCGGAAAACCATTTAATCTCCACTGTACCAGACAGCTGCATGAATGGATGCCGGCCAAGAGAGGATAAAGGGGACAGAGAAGGCATCCCCCATACACACCCTATTCCATAGGTAATTCGTCTCGAGTTATTTTTAAGACCACAGATCCCGAGGGGGATTAGACAACAGCCAATCACATAGGGAGAATGTGTTCCGCGTGGATGAACCACGCGTCCTTCACGAATTGACGCTGAAAAAAATGGCGGAAGACGCAGAGAGCGATATTGCTATTCGTTTTGTCGACGAAAACGACTAAAGAGAGATTTCTGCTAAAACTGTGTCAGCGAAACGGAAAGTAAAAAAGAATCGCCCTTCCTCTCTTGTATAGAGTTAACAGTACAGCAGGGAAATCCTTAACACACTGAATATTCTCTCAGTATCTTTAATTTACAATTTACAGGTTGAAGAGAGCAATTTCTGGTTTGATATTTATTCTTTTATTAGTCTATTATTATTCCACAAAATAACACTTGGCGTCCTACTTGCGTTTTTTTACAAACGACCGGTTTCAATAGACCGGCGAAATTTCTTATTATGTTAAAGCACTGAGGTTACGACAACTTCGAGTTAAACTGATTTCACTAGTTGTCAAAGAGTCTAGCGATTCCCTTTTCCCAGGTCAGCGCCGACTTTCGTTTCAAAATTTAGAAATGCCCTCGATCTCTTTACGCTTTCATTGCCTTTCGCCCGACATGTTTTGCACGGTGTTTAGTCATGCGAAACCTCAGCTAGCTCCACGAAACATCCACGCAGTGCGCGAGGTAGCTTTAGCCCGATTCTAAAAATAACTCGAGACGAATTACCTACGGAATAGGGTGTGTATGGGCGATGCCTTCTCTGTCCCCTTTATCCTCTCTTGATGCCGGCCTTACATGCAGGCTAATCTTGCTCTCAGGAGCCCGACTTGTTTTCGAATAACGGGCACCCAGGTTGGTTTTACTCCGAACTGGCTCTCAAAAACATTTTGAGCTATAACCTCTTTCTTTTGTAAGATCTGTTCACCTTTTCTTAGATATTTGCAGGACAAATATAAGTGATATTCTCTGTCCGTACGGTTACGAGATTAGACCCCAGAGACGCAGTGAAACCGGGTCATTTGATGATTTTGGCGGCATTTCGATTTTTAAGAAAAAGTGTCCTCAAAAACACTCTTATCAAACACCACTGTTACACAATAAAACGATAATCTCCTAGGCACAACTATTTATTCTTAGGCTGCTCAACAGGCGTTATTTGGGTGCTCAGGCGGGTTTTAAGCCGCCAGTACGAGGCGTTAGACAAGAGGGAGGAGGGAAGAGAAAGAAATATTGCCTCTCTCAACCAATAGAAACGCTTTCGCCAGATGCACGTTTGGAAGAGAGAGAACAATAACCGGTCTACAGGCCTTATTTTTCTTTTTTTCCCCCTCTCTCTTGTCTTACACTCACGTTTGCTCCCCAAAACCCGCCTGAGTGCCCCCAATAACGCGTGTTGTATAACAACATGATTAATCGACTAGACAACCTAAACACAGGGTCGGGTAGGATACTGCCGCGATCCGGGATCTCAACAAAAACAAAATACAGTGAGAGAATCGGGAAGACGTTGATAGGATTCGGTATTTGACGGGAAACGGGTAGTTAGAAAGTAGTGCATTTAGACCCTGACGGAGTGGCTAGCCTTTCCTCAGTGTCTGGAAGGGTATTCCCGGGAAATAGGATCCGTTGTGAACAAAATACAGCGCGGAATTCGGGAATACCTTGACGGGACACGGAATGTAACTGCCACTCGAGAAGTAAGATAAGCTGAAATTTGGCCACGAATGCGAGTTTGAAAAAAAAATGATATTCGTCGAAATAGCAATGAAAAAAGTTTGGGATGCGCGTTCAGGACCTTCCTTTCCAGACCCTACAAACTTACTTTTGTTCTTTCTGTCCTGTGCCCTACCTCTTGCAGTCTACTGCTCTGGCCAGTTTTCAGTTCAGAATCTGTGTCAAACTGCATTAGAACTGCAAAGTGAGTTAAGTGATTGCAGCTGCATTCTGTCCTGGAGTCATTCAACCATGTGACATGACATCCTTGCCCTGACCAACCTACAGGGCTTCACGAAGAATAAAATAAGTCACCAGCACAAGCAGGCAAAGGTTTTATTTCAAAGATTAAAAACTTTATTCTACCTGAAAAGCAGTTTTCGACCTTGTGGTTCATTGTCAAAGCCAGGGGACTGGGTTTGAAAATGCTCCAACCAAAAGGAGACGGAGTACTTCGATGTCCCAACTTCCAATATTGGATCCGCTATTAAAATTCGCCCTCCCCAGTTACACCATTTATTCAACTACTCTTCCACCCTTCCANTTGCAGTCTACTGCTCTGGCCAGTTTTCAGTTCAGAATCTGTGTCAAACTGCATTAGAACTGCAAAGTGAGTTAAGTGATTGCAGCTGCATTCTGTCCTGGAGTCATTCAACCATGTGACATGACATCCTTGCCCTGACCAACCTACAGGGCTTCACGAAGAATAAAATAA